TTTTAAGAGTTTTCAATATAATAGCAGGGTTTCATTCAAAATTTGTAACTAAAACATACATTTATACAATTTCTCTCTATAAAAAATTCTTAAGTAGCCAAGCCTTATTTGACATAAATAAGAGGTTTATGGAATAAACTCATTTTTGCTAACACCCCCTCCCCCCTAATACCCTACTGTGCCGGGGGGGGGGGGGGGGGGGGTAGTTTTTAAAGATGTGGGGGAAATGGTAAAAATGTTGACGTGGAAAGAGAAATTTTTTTATACTTTTGACCCGAAAATAACTTTTTTCCCCTACAAATTATTTATTTCATTAAATTCAGCATAAAATAATCCCCTCTGTGCAAATGTGCTTAACTTCTGCGGAAAAATAACTTCTAAAGGGGGATGGAATGATTTTTCAAGAAAAAAACCTCCCTGTTCCGAAAAGTTCTAAGAAAATACTTTTTTATTTATTTTTATATAGTTTGTCTAGACTAAAACAGCAACACAATAGACAAAATTTTAAAACATTTATTTGAGCAAATATAAGGCATAACAAAAGAATCAAAATTTCAAAAATTTAATGTTATTTATTTTTATTTTTTGCAGCTTAATATTAATCGATTTTCTTCCTGTTTTCCTTTCATTCAGTTTTTCAAAAGTTTAATCTAAACTTAACAAAATTAATTCATTTGATGATCTAGTACTATTAACCTATTTAAGCAACATTTCTTCAAACTTGAAAGATAAAACAAAATCTGAAAGTGAGTGCTTTAATAAGAATTCTGTTTGTACATTAGATGATCAAAGGTTGTGTATCTGGATTATAAGCATGTATGAAGGAACACTCCAGTTAGGATTTCTTGTTTTTTTGCAGCTCACATTAATGAATTTAAAAAACTTTTCATATTTGTCAATTTCGACCAGCCATAAACTTAGGGTCTTGACGCTTACAACACTATCACTACATAGGCCTGTTATTTTTTTATTTTTGTACTCTATAACTTTATTATAAAGTATAAGATCAAGACATAGTACCAGACAATTTTAGATATTGGATTTTATACAAAATCATGGAATAAAATTAAACTCATATCTCAATTTAAAGAAAATAGCCAGATATTAATATAAAACAGAACATCAGAACTTGACAAATTTTTTAAATATCAAAATTTGTCGTGTAGCTCAGAAAAAGGTGTAAGTGAATGACAAATCTTTTTGAATTCTAGCTTAACCTTTCAATTCTAAAATCAAAACTGCTCGACTATTGACTACTGTGATTCCTATTTATTTGGAGTAAATCGGAGTTCAAAGTTCTGGTCTCAAATAAACAAGTTAAAAAACATGGAAAATATTTATTTAATCTTGAACCTGACACAACATATAATCCTTAAAAACTAAGTACTAGGGATAACATACATGAATACGAGCCTTCAGAGCCAAAGAATCAATCTAAAAGAATTAAGTAAAACTTGGAAATAGAAAGGGGGAGCAAAAGCAAAAGTAATAAAGAAAACTTCAAAAACCTGAATAGTCGGAATCGCACGCAGTTTCACACTGGAGAAATTTCTGTTCTGAACTCAGCTTGGGGAGAAATCGAGCCCCTTTTTATACTCCCAAGGGGAGCATAGAATGCGTGCGATAATTAGACTATTCGGATTTTGATTGGTTTATCTATACTTATAATGACACATAATTGGGTAGGGAGGATTCCTATTGGTGGGGAGAAAAGAGTTGAGGGTCTTTTAATTATCGCAATTATTATAATTGTGTGGCATGAGCTCTGATTGGCTAACAGGGAATAGGGGTTCAAAGACAAGGGGATAAATTTCACCATGGAGTAATTATATATCGTTCAGTGGGGGAAAAACGGAAGTTTTATAATTAAGAAAAGAAGGGGACGTATCTCACCCCTCAGTAATTATGAACAATTAAATTCTAGAAAAAACAACATAATACGAGACTTAATATTAAATTCAGGATAGAAATGTGATCACATTCACATAGACTCCCTTCACAAAGAAAAGAGAAGAGAAAGAGAGAGGGAGAGTGGGAGCATGAAAAAAAATAAAATAAAACCAAGTCTGATTATTCAACTAAGATCTCCTCGTACTCTGGTTCGTAGTCACAAGCTTGGCAGCTAATATGTTTGCTTTTGATAACCCCCATATATCTCAGGAGAGATTGGTACTGGGGGGTTATCCAAAAGCTACTAACTATCCTCGTAACCTCAAGAAGTTTTTCATTTGTGGTAAGATTTTGTGACATGAGGTTATTAAAGTCTTGTAGATTAACCTGCCTTGTAGGCGAGATAATCTCCCAGGTTTTCACTGATAAATAATTGTTTGTGTTTTGCACAATGTTTAATTTGACGCCATGGTTGCTTGGCAATATAACTTCGCACACTTGTTGGTCTTCTAAGATCATTGCCCAACTATTTGTTCTAATCCCTAATTCATTGAAGTTGTCTTGATACTCCGAGTGAACCTCTCCTGTAGCAGTTATGAAGAATGAACGTATTCCTCGAAGTTGCTCTTCAATTCTTGAGTAATCGGAGAGGTCCTCGTAACGTTTATCTGGTGACGATTTCAGTTCCAAGAACTTCAAACCATCTGTAATCATGCTGAAATAGAATAGGTTTGTTAAGATTACATATATGCTTTGGTAGTTAGCTCATAAGGAGGTTGATTTTTAAATGTAATGGGTAAAATATTTCTGCAATTAATGGTTACAAAATAATTGTAGATTCATCACTGAGATTACAATGGTTTAACTAGTTACATTAAATATTAACAAGTAGGATACAAAATTGCGTGATCATGTAATAGCATGATGATTTTACATTCGTTAGTTGTGATTTCATAGTATAAGAAATTTTTTTTTGGAAAAAGAAAATAATTGGCGTGAACATTTGTTAAATGGTTAAGGTTTGAAGAGAGCAGGGGTCTTCTGACTATTTATTAGTTAGATTATATGTCAGATATAAGAGCAAAAATTGACTTTATGTTGTACAGAAGAATAAACTAAAATATTTTACTAAAAGATAATTCATTGCGTGTGCATTTGTTAAATGGTTAAAGTTTAAAAAAAGCAATTAATTATTAGTTAGAATTTATGTCAGACATAAGTGAAAAAAAAATTGAATTTATGTCAGACAGAAGGATACCCCATAGGGGGAAAAGAGTAAAGAAGGTATACCTGGTATCGTTAGAGTTGACTCGTTAACGGACCAAAATGGAGTGAGGGGGGGCTAATGTGAAATGGTTGTATTTATAGCGCTTGGCGCGCGGTATTAATTATTGGAGATGGAGAGGGAGGGGGTAAATATACATTGAAAGGGGACAAAAGTTCAACAAGTAGGTATTGTTTTAGAAATCATGTTGTTAAAAAAAATAATATTGCACGAAAGGGGGGATTATGTATACAGAGAGATTTGAAGAAGGGGAAATAATAGAAATTATTCATGTATAGAATTTACGTGCTTAGTTTTTATTGAAAGGAATCGGTTATATTTATTGCAAGAAAATAAAGAAATTTTCTTGCGTGTAAAATAAATGCGGGGATTTTTAATTTTTTTATGTAAAACTAAATTATGTTACGTGACGATTCACAAGAAGTAGTGTTGATCGGTTCAGTCGTTATTACGCTTACAGGACACAAACAAACAAACAGACAAACAACGAAGGTGTAATTTTTAAAGACGAAGGGAAAAAGAGATAAATAATAAATAAAGATTCTAGGATAAGAGGAAGGTCTTAATATTAAGGTAGAGTGTGCTAAAGTATTAGTGTTGAACTGAGATGAAAGTGAAAGTCAAGGTGAAGGTGTTTTGTGTGTTTGTTAGAGAGCGGAGAGTACAAAAGTTTAAAGAATACACAGAAACGGTGGTTGAGCGTAAAACCGGTTTCCGTGGTAGACACATGAGTAATTTGAGCGGGGATGAGCACGCAGTATGCAAAGTAGCACGAGGCTGGACGGAGGTACGTAAAACATTGAACACGTTAATTATATTGAAAAAAATTGAATTAAATATTTTATGTATAGCAAAAGTAAGTAGAAAAAGTTGAAAAAAAGTGGTTAAGGAAAAGATAATAATGCCTGTAAAGTTAATGGGAATAGAAGGGGGGGGGGGTGTTAGGCGTAATGAGAAGGCTAATTAACAAGGAGATGGGGAATATAAAAATTCCTAAAAAAACTGGGAAGGTGTCGTTAATGAGGTTTTAATTGTGCTAGGTACACTTAAAAAAGGAAATTAAACATATTAAATGTGCTGTGGGTTTTAGGGTCGTCAAGTAACATTAGAGTAATAAAAAAGGAGGGGGACTCGATGCAATTACGTATAATTATGATCAGGATATATTGCAGATGAGGGGATTGTTTGACAAGAGAATATTAATATTTAAAAAATTGATGTTTTTTTTGCGTTTGGAAGGAGTTAATGGTAGTTAATAATAGTTAATTGTTAGAAGAGGAGTGTTTTGGGAACGTTGGAGAGGGGTAACCGGTGATGGACAGAAAAACAGTGAAACGGAAGAAAATAATTATATTTTTTAGTTTGTAAACTGTATTAAAAATAAAGTTAGGAGGCTTTTTCTGTCAAGTGTGTAATTTAATAGTGTGATAATGTTTGATATTGAAGGAAAAATGATTTGTTTATAGATATGAGAGATACATTCACAGATATTATCGACGGGGGGGAGGGGGGGGTTTTAAATTATTAGGAGCGGAGTTGTATGAAATACGGGGAGGAAAGTAGAAGTAGTGTAGCTGGAAAGAATTGTGAAGACGTGCTATATAAATAATGAAGAAAAGAAGATTGAAAAGAGTTTAGTGAAAGTACAAACGTAATGTGTGCGTATGTGTGTTGGTTTAGTAGGGTGGAGAAATGAAAGTACAAGCGTATATAGGTGGGGTGGGAGTTTAATTGAGGCAGGGTCACCTGTAAAATTATGTTTTTCACAACTAAGGAATTCTAGAAGGATGACGACTTTTAAATGTTTTGGTGCAAGTAAACGGAAGTTATGATTATGATGATGATTTTGACAGTCCCAAAGGGTTCGGAGACCGTACTGTTGTACGAGGTGTTCAGAAGAGCACAGTACAGAATGTCAATATAGTGAACGATATCAATATAAACGTAAACATTAATGGAATGACGGAAATATCGACAGTTTGTGTTAATGTGACAGAGATGGTTGAACGAAATGATGAGTTTACGAAGACCGTAACGGGAATTATGGACGATGTATCTAAAGCTGAGAGCATCACCGAGGTCATGGACAGTATAACGGAAGCAGCATTGAGTAATAACAAACTACTCGAAGACAACGGATCTGGAAACGGGATGGTGATAGTAGTTTGTATAGTGGGAGGAGTGTTGTTCTGCGTGATAATTTTGGCTGTATATCTTCGGTACAGGTAATGGATTTTAATAAATATGAACCGAACAGAAATAAGGAAACGAAAGCTTTTACTGGTTAAAAAAAAGATGGAGAAGAAGAGGGTTAATATTGGGTTGGTTGGGAACAAACTTATCTGATTGACGAAAATAACGAAGCAATAAGGTCGAATTATGTCAATTGGTTTTTATTTCTGTTTTTGTGCAGTATATTAATGTTTGAATAATTTAGGAACAGTAAAAGATATGTTACTGAGAGGAAAGGATGTTGGAAAGGATTGGGAGATGGATTACCAAGTTGTGGATTGGGTTGGTTTAAGGTAAGACTGCATAAAGTTCGATTGAGTTAATCTGGGGGGGGGGGGGGGTGTTTAATTGAAAAAGAGCAAGAACCGGAATTGCAAAACCAAAAATTTGAAAGTTAAGAAAGTTTTGATTGTACATTGTAATAAGGGTTGAACACAAGATTATAATGTACAGGAGTTGAAATGAATATTATTTAGGGTTGGTGCTGGAGAGATTGCCGAGATATTGAGGATAAGAGTGCAAATGAAGGGTATTTGACCCCTAGAAGGGTATGAGACGAAGAGAGTAGAGAAGGAAATGATTGCTGTCTTGCAGCTGACGCGGTTGGGGGTAATTTAGAGGTAATTTATTAGTAATTTAGTATAACAAGGTTATATGATGTGGGATTTTAAAAAAAATGAATGCGAAAATAAATTAGCGGCGCGAAAAAAGAAACTGCTATAATAAATACAATTTGTTAAGGGAAGGAACGGATTAGAGAATCAGAACTACGGAAGATTGGATGGAGAAACTTACAATATTTATGATGAAGTGACCGGAGAAGACTGTGAAGATGGGAGAGTGTTGTCTGTGAATGTCAACGGCAAAGATTCTTGGTACAAATGAAATAGGTGTAAATAATATTATACTAAACAAGAATTTGATGCCGCGGAACGAGGAAGTGAGTAAAGATATTGACAAGGGAAACGTGGGTCTCGTTGATGTGAACAGGCTAGTTGTCCCACAGCCAGGGGGAAATGTTTGTATGCTGGGAGTAGGAGAAGTGGATCTTGGAGGGGTCGAGAACATGTTAGACGGGCAGAACGTAAATATGCAAGAAGACAACGATCGAGAGGAGTTGGGAGGAGTCGAAACATGTCCAAGCGGGGAATATATGAATATGCAATTAGAAGATGATCGACTGGATATCTGTGCACGGGGGAGTGACACGAGTATTGAAGCAAATGAGCATATGTCAGACTTTCTGAATAGCACTTTGATCTCGAAAGGATTCGAGAATGACGTCAGGCAAGCTATTTCTGAAGTAGATGCTGAGCAAAGGAGAGGCAATGATCGACTGGAAAAGGTCCTTGAAAGTCTGGAAAACAAGATTAGAAAGGAAAAGGAAGAAACTACACAAATGTTACAGAGTGTTAGCGAAATGTACGAAGATACCCCGCGCAGATTGCAGAGGTTAGCTAAGAAGAATTTGTTGAAAGAACGAGGAAATTGAAGTTTGAATAAAGGAAAAGAAAGCGAGAATTGATCAAACGAATATTAGAAGAAAATCATAAATGTTAACGTGAAATATTGTCAGAAGAGTAATTGGTTCAAAACCGTAATTGCAATAAAGCAAAAAAAAAGTGATAATTTTTTATATATATTATAAGTCTTCTGTGTTTGCTTATAGAAGTTGAAAACTCAAATAAAAGTTAAAGGAAAGAGTACGAATGTTAAGGATTCGTTTTCGGAAGAACGGGTTTTGTCGAGAGTTTGGCGGATAGGCGTATGTACATAAGTGTAGGACATAGAAAAATGTACATAAGTTATAAAGTGTTTTATGTACAGATTTTTTATTTAAAAACGCGAGTTTTAGCCGTAAAATATTAACATAATTGAGAAACAAAGAAAACCCTATTTATTCTAATTCAACAGTTTTACATGTTTTTATAGGGTCGAACACCTTAAAAGTATGCATAATAACATATATATAAAAACCACTCTTTGCTTGCTTTTTAATTTTATAATTTTTTTGTCTTTAAAGGTTTTGAACACTGATATGAAAAGTACACATAAACCTTGTTTTTCTAGTTTTGAGGTTTATAATTTTTTGCTTTATAATTCCATAATTTTGAATTAAGATTAAGAGAACACATAACGACATAATATTGAAATTATTTTTTTGCTTTAGAATTTTACCATTTTTTTTTTTGTCTTTTGACGTACGTAATATTTGATAAGAGTCGAATTTTATTTTTGACAGAACCAGTGCTGCCATGAAACTGGTAAAAAAAATTCGAAGTAAAATATATAATTTTGAAATTAAAAGTTGGTAAAGTAATATTTGATTTTCAACTGAGTTTAGTACTTTTGAACCCATTCCGACTGCAGAAAGAGGTAATTGTGGGGTTTTACTGCAAATCCGTAACTTTTTAAATAATAAGGATGTTTTTTACATTGAATGTTATCAAAGTTTCTAAATAAAGGTAGTTCGGGGCATTGTACAATCGGAAACGTACATGTTTGATGAGCAAGAGATTTCAACAGTATTTCATATGAAGCATTACCATCAGCGAGTTTATTTAATAAAAACGATTCGCCAACTAGGTCAACAAGGTGTTCTAAAAATAGTAAAATTAAAATTGATTTAGAAACAAAACGATGGGAAATGTTGTATTTAGGGGGTCCTCCAAAAAGATCATTAAAAACGTGGGTCAAACGAGGTTCAATTTCACAAAGTACATAATGCTCAATTGAGGCAGGGTCACCTGTAAAATTATGTTTTTCACAACTAAGGAATTCTAGAAGGATGACGACTTTTAAATGTTTTGGTGCAAGTAAATTAAAAATAAAATCTACGGGATTTAAGTTACCTTTTAGTTTGTGAAGATTATCATGAATAATCATGTTTGCTAAAGAAGTTAAACGGAGAGGGTTTTTTTGATTTTGCCAATGACGGAAATCATTTACACACGAAAGTCTGGGTTTAGGATCATTAAAGGGGCTATGAACCAACTTAGGTTTGGGGGAGGATAAACATTCAGTGGGAGAGGGAAGCGTCATATTAAACATAAAATAGGTTTGTAAACGGAAAGTGAATAAGCAATACAATAAAATACAAACAAATACAAAGATTGGAGAGTACTGAACTTAAAACTAGTAAAAGTGTTAGTATAAAATATGTACAAAGTAGAAAAGTGTTGGAATTGCGACAGTCGAGTTGGTAGGAGAGAACTTCTAACGTCGTTCCTGAAAAATAAAAGATGTATTATTTTTTTACCCTTTTAAATGAATTTGATTTGGTTCTATGTATAGAAGCAACGTATCTTTTGTTTTTGTGTTTTGACTGTTTTGGTTTTAGCAGTTTAATAGTAAGTCCAATAATTAAAGATACAGACAAGGTAAGAACACCGGCAAGGGAGACATATATTTGATAATCGGGGTTAAGTAAGGGGTTTAAAAAATAATAAATCGTTTCATAATCTTCAGGCGTTAGATAGCTAAAAATTATATTAGTGTCAAGTGATGTCGGGCCAAAAAGATAAATAGTATCATTGAAATCAACTTGAATAGTGAATTCAGATTGAATAAGAGTAGGTACATCATAAGAATCTGGGTTAAGAGATTGGTTTTGTGAAGGTTCGTGGGTTGCAGGGTCTAGCAAGGTTAATTTAGCCTGAGGCGGGATAAATACACCATTCAACGTGAGGAATGGTTTAATTTGGGCAGTAAGTAGGATGGGGCAGTTTAATAAAATTTTCGAGACGTGTTTCTGTTTTATGGCATCAATACAAGGATTTTGAATGACAGATAATTGGCAAGTTTTAATTTCGTGAAATTCTGAGCAAATTTGATGATAATAAGTGGAGTTGTCATGAATGGGGTTGTATAAATGATTTAAATCTAAAATTATCCCAGCTATAGGGGTAGGTTTTAGAACTTGAAAAGTTTCGAAATCATGATCTTGGGTTAGTTTAACAGTAACTAAGGCTCCTTCTTTGTAAAACGTTAATTTTTCGATGCGGTAAGTTTCTTTTCCATATGTTCTAATACATCTATTTAGATTCAAATTTAGATTAGTTTCAGCAGGAATTTCAAAGTTTTGAAGTAAAGATATAGCGGAGTATTGTTTATCAAACAGAGCTAGGAATTTGTGTACAATCCCTTTAATTGAAAGAAGAGAATTAGCTAATAGTTGGAATTTTTCTCCTTCTTGATTTTGTTTATCTTCATCCGTAAAAGAGAAAGATGAAGGAAATTTGTTATTAATTAACTGAAGGCTTTCAATGAGATCTTTAAAAGTTGTTTGAGATATAAGCTGACGTTTAAAAGTACAGGGGGAGGGGAGGTGTTTATTGTCTTCTTGATTTAAAAAGGATTGAGTTAAAGTGTTAATTCCTCTAATCATTCGTTTAATGAACGTTAAATCAATGAGTACATTGTTTAGTACCTCGGGTACTTCTGTATTTTGTTCAGGTTTAATTATTTGGTAAATTGTTTTAAACACGTTAAAAAGTTGATCAGTCTCATCAGTAGTAAGAGTGAATATTTTAAAATCTAAATAAACCCTGGTGGTGGTAGTCTGTTTAGCTAGATCCGTTTCCGAGGTTGGTACTAATAGATCAAGGTCGAGGGCTAGATTTTTATTGAAATTGCTCATAATTTTTAGATTGATATTTACCTTATACAGAGAGAGTGTTCTCTGTTTGAAGTTTTGCCTGGCAGTAGTACTGTAGGATTTGCAGTGCTTGAGTTCTCGAATAATTGGAAATGGTTTGATCACTGTTGAAGATTGGGTGAGGTTTCTCCAGTATATTAGTATACCAATTGTGTCCAAATCCTACAACTCCAGTAGTTGGGATAAAGATGGTTCTTGTAAACCTAGCCAGGAGTAGGGCTGATACGTTAATTTGGTACCACAGGTGGAGTAGTACAGTTGAGGGGATTTGGAAATTCCCGGATATTGGAGGTTGACCTAGTACTACAAATTCAGGCAGTTTACCTCTTAGACGCAGTATATCTTGGGAAACTCTGGTTAGACCACAGAAGAAACCTAACAATATACTTTTTAAACTGTGATGTAGTAAATTAGCCCAGGTCTCTGGTTGGTGGCACATGAGGAAGGGGTACAAGTTCAACTCAACAAAAATGGGTATGTTTAGAGGAGCTTTTAAAGCTATTTGCTTGACATGAATGAGTAGATTCCTGTCCGCAGGTAGGTGGTGAAGAGCTTTGCCTTCCAGGTGTATAATTCCTTGGAGAGAATTATTCATATGAGTATAATAGTGGGTAGGCCATTTCTGTTCTACTGAGAAATCTGGAGACAGGTTCAGAGTTGGGAATGGTGAGTTGGGAAGAGTTCCAGCTTTGTCTAACACTTGAATCCCAATTACTATTGCTTTATATATCTTGCCATCTGCTGTAGTGATTTGGCCCGGAGTTTGAGTCAAGTAAGACTGTTTTAATAAGTGAGGACCAGCATAAGTGTCAGGGCCGTACATCAGGTCATCAACCTTTGCTGGTAAAATGGTGGCATTGTTCCATAGAGTCTTGAGGAAGATTCCGACGTTTATCTGGTTGATCTCATAATGATATTTCTTGTAATTCTGAGTTTTATCAACTAGTTTATCTCCAAATCTTAGAACTCGTACTATATCTGAGACAGCTAAACTGTCTTCTTTTGTCATATATCTTGCAACCAAATCAATTATGTTTGGCATCTTGAAAGGTTGATCTTGTATCTCGGCTTGAAAATTGGTGAATAGTTCGGGTTGAGTAATGTATCTTGATAAATGAAGAAGGTTGTGAATCTTCAGGGTTTCTCTGGTCATCAGTTCTGATCTGGTCGTAGCGATAGTGTTAGGTCGTCTTTGTTGATTTATCTGTCGTATTTGGTCATGGGTAAACATATTTATTACTTCCGGCGATAGTTGATAATGAGGTTTAGAGTTCATCAAGTGAATCAAGAGGTCCATGATGGTGACAAAACCGAGGTCGCACATGGGGCATCTCAAGGTATTATTGTGGAAGTGAAGATGGTGGGAAATCAGGGTTGTGTTCGTATAAAAACGGTGACAGATGTTGCAAAATATTTCCCTCTTTTCGGAATGATCTCGGCTAAATCCGCAATGTGTCATCAGAGACAAAAATGATGGGAATACTTCAGTACATTCTAGACAGAGCAGAGGTCCCTGGTATTGTTTTTGGAGTACCTCTTGAACTGATGGATTGTCGCCTAACAAAGAACCATGTGTCATTAGATGGTTTAAATTCTAACGAGATGGTTTGGTATGGTCTCGTAGTTGGACGGTAAAGTCATTACAATGACGACAGGTGAGAATCCCATTTTGCACTGTCCTTGAAAGCGTCAGAAGTGCCAAAGCGTCCTTCTTTTCTTGTGGCAACATCCCTAATTTGTGGGATATAGAAAAACCCCCTAAACGACGGTGCCGTTCCAAAGACATATTAGGTGGTTTACAAAAGCAAATTTTGCATGATCTGTCAGCGACAATAAAAACATCTTCATCTGCTTCAAGTTCTTCTTCTGTCCCACTAGACTCTGAATCACTCTCAAAAATAATTGGTTCTTGAATTGGTCCGAGGATGGTTCTAACTCTTCCTGTCATCAAGGTTCCCAGAACTTCATTATAGGAGTTAGGATGTATAAACGTAGTTGGAATCTTTGGCGCGTGCCCTGGACAGAATTATCGTTGATATATTACAACGG